GAATTTGAGAAAAAACGTGATGTAACCCCTTGCTATTTTGTTGATTTTGTTCAAAATATAGATTTTTATTTTTTTGATGCCAATCGATAGCACTGATCCTCACGAGTCCAAAATGGTATAAAATTCCCAAATCGGACATTATTTGGCCGAGATTTTACAAAAAATCAACAAAAAAGGTTGACTTTACAAACAAATCTGTTTTTGGTCTACCACATTTTTTTACCAATCGATTTTTAAAATGTTTGAATGCAGATTGATGGTAGGGATCCTTACGAATTCAAAAAGGTATAACTTTTGAAAATCAGACAGTATTTACCCGAGATATTCAATGAAAGTCATCAAAAAAGTTTTGAATTTCGAGCCGACCCCGAATTTAAGAAAAAAACGTGATGTAACCCCTTGCTATTTTGTTGATTTTGGTCAAAATTTAGATTTTTATTTTTCTGATGCCAATCGATAGCACTGATCCTTATGAGTCCAAAATGGTATAAAATTCCCAAATCGGACATTATTTGGCCGAGATATTACAAAAAATCATCAAGCAAGGTTGACTGTAGAAACAAATCGGTTTTTGGTCTACCTCTTTTTTTTAACAATCGATTTTAAAATGTTTGAATGCAGATTGATGGTAGGGATCCCTACGAATTCAAAAAGGTATAACTTTTGAAAATCAGACAGTATTTACCCGAGATATTCAATGAAAGTCATCAAAAAAGTTTTCATTTTCGAGCCGACCTCGAATTTGAGAAAAAAACGTGATGTAACCCCTTGCCATTTTGTTGATTTTGGTCAAAATTTAGATTTCAAAAAGGGATAACTTTTGAAAATCAGACAGTATTTACCCGAGATATTCAATGAAAGTCATCAAAAAAGTTTTGAATTTCGAGCCGACCCCGAATTTAAGAAAAAAACGTGATGTAACCCCTTGCCATTTTGTTGATTTTGGTCAAAATTTAGATTTTTATTTTTTTAATGCCAATCGATAGCACTGATCCTTACGAGTCCAAAATGGTATAAAATTCCCAAATCGGACATTATTTGGCCGAGGTATTACAAAAAATCATCAAGCAAGGTTGACTGTAGAAACAAATCGGTTTTTGGTCAACCTTTTTTTTTTAACAATCGATTTTTAAAATGTTTGAATGCAGATTGATGGTAGGGATCCCTACGAATTCAAAAAGGTATAACTTTTGAAAAGCAGACAGTATTTACCCGAGATATTCAGTAAAAATCATCAAAAAAGTTTTGATTTTCGAGCCGACCTCGAATTTGAGAAAAAACGTGATGTAACCCCTTGCTATTTTGTTGATTTTGTTCAAAATATAGATTTTTATTTTTTGATGCCAATCGATAGCACTGATCCTTATGAGTAAAAAATGGTATAAAATCGGACATTATTTGGCCGAGATATTACAAAAAATCATCATATGGAAATTAGTTGATTTTTATCCGATCGAACCACTTAACATAATTTCAAAGATCTTTATGAAAGTTCGTTTCTAAAGCTTTTCGGGACTCCCACACATATAATAGATCGATTGATCCTTCTATGAAATTTAATGATTTCATCTACAATACGACAAAGAATTGGACTAAAAAGCTCTTGTGAGACCGCACTTGAATTAAAACTTTCACATCGATGTCTTAGCCAATTTATCACCATAAACGCAGCCATTTATTTGATTTAAGCAATTTGTAAAATTTTAATGTGCTTCAGAATGAAATAAATCTCCGACTGTAAATTGAGAGGCTGATGTTGGGTCGAGGATGGCGCATGAGCAAAACGGGGGCACGTCCAGTGAAATAAATTAGGCACAGCTGTGCGGCAAATGAATGCGGGAGCGCTAGAGGAAGCCTCTCCCAGGCGGACGTGTGCCTAATTTGGGAATGCGTGCCGAGGGGGCGGACATTGGGACAACATAACCATAAATAAGTAAGACAAATAAAGTGTCTTGCCACGGAAGTTTAGCACAGCACTGAGAATCGAAAATACTTCAATGCCTCCTCAATTGATTCGGCCACACACAGTTCAATTGCAGGGCACGACCCCAAAGTGGGGGAATGGAAGTGGAGCGGGAACATTTCTGTGCCGTGCACTTGTTACTGTCAATTGCCATTTATTTGTTGTGATTTGTGGGGGCCATGCAGAATATCAAACACAAATTGACAGCTGACACGTTACCGCCCTATGTAGACTATAACATTCACTCCCTGCTTCAAGAGTTCTCCTTCCGCTCAATTTAAGTTAAGTTAAGTAACTGACGTCATGCATTCCCCAAGTTTTTAGCAGGTGTTGAGAGTGCTTCCGACTTGCATTGCCATGATTTTCACTTATGTATACCCGTGCTCTAAACTCAACTTGTCGAACGACGTTGTCCGCAAGTAGTTCCTTCCGTTTCCATTAGTTGCCGTTGCCGTTGCCGTTGTTTCTGCTGTTGTTCTTGCTGTTGCTGTTGTTGTTGTTGCAAGTACCGTGGCTGCCACCATTGCTGTTGGTGCTAGCACTGCTGTTGTCATTGGCCCCAGACACGACACATTGAATGGCACCGAAACCAATTAATTTGTATGAATTGTGAGAGCTCTACATTATTCTGAACTGATTAGTTATGCAGCATGGCAGTAAACTCGTATTCAAATAAGCGCGAAAATAAATGAAAGGCAATGCCGACACCGCGCTGAATAAATAAGACTGAAAATTGAGTTACCAAAGTTCTCGAAGCTTAGATACTCTGTCAACTATGTACATAATATATCTACTATATATACAAATAAATAAAATAAATCTATATATATTAAATTATGCGTTACTTACATTCAGAATCTTATGCTAAGCCCATTATTCACTAAACACAATACATAATAATAAAGATTTCTGTAAGAATGGATTTGACCCTGGATCTTTAACATTTAAGCATTGTAAACATTTTGTGGTCAACAAAGAAATATTGTTATTTATTTCTTCGGCTTTCAATGAAAGAAACATCTTTGCAGTCTTTTATAACAATTCCTAATTATGATATAAGGAACGGACCTAAGATAGTGCTTAGATGGTAACAATTTTCATGTACAGTTCAGAGTACCCTTGCGCAGAAAGTGCATGGAAAATGACAAGCGCAGAAAAATTATGACTGTCGACCATTTTTGCATATGACTGTGTATAATTTCACAATTAATTATGAAATATGCCATATAAAAAATAACCATAAAGAAAAAGAGTGAGCAAAAAAGAAAACTAAGCCATGCAAGCAACAAGCAAGAGGTTGAGGGGGTAAATAAATGGGCACTACAAACTGTGCACTGCAGTCCGGGATCGGGAACGGGAACAGGAATGGGAATGGGGACGGGGCTAAGACCGGGGCTGGGACCGGGCCGAGAGCTCTGTATAACTATGACTAAACAAAACGATACGAAATGACACGCTGTCAACGTGGTTGGGCCTACTGCTGGCCAAGTTGCTGAGTTGGTAGTTGGCAGTTGGCAGTTGGCAGTTGGTAGTCGCCAAATTACAATAATAATAACAATAATAATGAAACAGTAGCAGCCACACGACAATGCGACAAAGTGGTAGTCTCAGTTCCAGTCCCGACCCGACCCGACCCGGTTGCGAGCGTGTTCAGAGTTATGCCATTGTTGGACCTACACCGAACGAGTCAAACGACGATTAACGCTTGGCTGATTGCTGCTGCTGCCGGGGGCTCGAAGTGCTCGAAAAGCGCTGGTCATAAATTATATAATGAAATGAAAAATGTCTGCCAAAGGGGTTTTTTACATTGGGTCAGAGCCTGGAGGTCGGATCGGTTTGGTTCGGTTGGGTTCGATTCAATTCGGTTTGGGTTAGTGTGGTTTGGTTTAGTTTGGTCCGTGTCTGTCTCTGCCGTTCAGTTGGTTACCAGTTTGGGCCGAGTTTACAGTTTTGCAGTAGGTCTTGCGTTTGGTCAACTTCCCGCCTCTGACTACGACCATGAGTTTGAGTCCAATTGCAGATCCGACAGCGATGCATGGCATGCAATGCGTCATGAAGGTGCCCACTTTGGTAGTTGTAGTTGGGCTCGTATTATTAACTAGTTAGCAACATGCAAAGCCAAATGGTTGCGCTTTGGCAAACTATGTAGTTGCCAGTTAGGAGTCACAAGTCGTACATCATCATCATCATAGTTGGACCCGGGGCTGCTTCATATGTCGCCCATTGCATGTCGCCAGGCATTTATGATTAACTGCGCTACATATTAACATTATCGTGCGACTTCACCTGGGCTTTCAATGGCCTATTCTGCAGACAGTTTGTATGCTAATTTGCGAGTACCCGTATTCACACTCGCACTCACACTCGCACTCACACTCACACTCACACTGGCTGAATGCTTTATTTAACTGTTATTTTAATTTATGGCAATTTTATGCGAGTGCGCAGCAATGCTGAAGTTGCTCGGCTCTCAAATCCGACCACATAATAATAAAAGCGGAAACTATTGTATTAAGTGTTTGATTTATGTTTTTAGTCAATTGTTTTATTTATGAGCTTGCATTGCGCATTGTTCCGACCGCCTTTGTGGCAACCAGTTTAGGGAAGTGAACTTCGCTCCGGGGTCGCAAGCTAACAATTGAAGTTTATTTGTTTGGTCCCAACTGTGTAGAGAATTATTTTACGAGATTCTAGCTCAGCAAATATTTACGGAATGGGTTACAAATACGTTAGATTAAAAAAGGAAATGCCACGAATATCTTAAAAGTACATAAAAAATCATATAAATATAAATATTATAATTTAGCAGGCACATTCTTTGCAAATAGACAACTATCACATAAAAATATTTTAATCACTATACAAAACATAAATTATAAATTTATATCTGGTTATAAATTCAGTGTGATAAAGTTACACAAATGCATAAATTTGCCGAGGCATCAAAAATTAGAGAAAATCTTTTCAGAGCGGGGTTTCGAGAATATTTAAAAATAATAATACTTTGATCAAGCATCCCAGTGGTATTTATTTCTCGTTTGCTTGTTTTTTTTACAGACCAGAATTAAATCATATAATTTATTTAAAAATTGAAATTAGTTTCCTGTAGTTGGTTTTTTCTTGCTTTTCGACATTCACCAAAAGCTATTCCTGTTTCTGAAAAACGAAGAAGAGCCGCATTTAAGAAAATATAATTTCAATTTATTGCAAGAAGCACACTCTTTACTTACTTGGTCTCATCATCATTCATCATTCTAGACAAGCCCAGGCAATTTTCTCACACTTTAAATTGACACATCACAGCGAGAAAATGAGCCCAAAAAGTCTGATAAATTAGATCCTGATGACTAAACATAAGTACTCCTGTACTCAGCCAAACTCACGATATTACTTGTTGTTTTCTTCTTTTAGCTCACCAATACAATGACCAAAGTAGACATAGAGAACTTCGACTAGGGATCTGCTAGAGAGCTGAAACTGAAAATAGAAATGGAAACCAATCGGTCATTGTCAAGGCGACTTGCACGCACGCACATTTCATCAATTAATTAAACAAGTTTAGGATGAAATACAAAAGAATATACTCGCATAAGCGCAACCAGCCAATGAGATTGCACAAAATATGAGAATATGGCAAAATATGAATATGTCTGTTTATTTGTTGTTTGTTTGTATGTGGCAACGTCATCAAAGTAATCATCCTGGGACTCTGACGAGCGACTGTCAGCTAAAGTGAGAGAGCAGCAGCGACGAGTCCAAATGATTGCCTCCATGACGTGGCAGCTCTCTGCCCCGGCATCAACATCAGCGACATCATTTATCATCAACCTGCCTGTCAGTCAAGTCACTCGGTACAAAAAATTACCGTCCTCCCCCATCGAAGGAAGGGACGGAGGCAAGCACAGGACTAAGGACTAAGGACTGCGGACTGCGGACTGCGGACTCCGATGACTTGCCTGCTGCAGTGTGTTATCCTTGGGTGTGCTGTCAAAAAATTATTATGCCTATTAATTTTACCCATGCGGGCGTCGCCCCTTTATCCAGTTCTGTGTGTTGGTGGTAAATTACACAACAAAAAATTATGTTTGGCTTTTGCCAGCGCCAAATGGGCGTGCCTGTCTCCCTCTCCATCACTCTCCCCCCCCCCCCCTCTCTCTCTCTCTCTCTCTCGCTCTCTCTCTCTCGCTGTGCCGCTTAAGACTTATTTCGCCTCATTCATTTGGCAGTAATTTATCCTGTCATGCTGTCATTATGACAAACAAAAAAAAAATAAATAATCGCTTAAAGCTGGGGAAAAAATTATTTATTGAAAATGATTATGCAAGGGGACTCTGCGAAGGTTCTGTAACGAGTGGTGGGACTTGTGGGTGGGTGGGTTTTTTGTTAATGATTCGATGACGTCTTGGACTTGACACATCGATCAAAAATCATTATGACTTATTTGGGTTGTGTGGATAAAGAAATGTGGCGCAAGATTACACTACAAAAAATTGTTGGCTGAAAATAAAATCAAATGATTTGGAAAAGTATTTACATATATAGTATACCTATTGACATCAGGCCCAGGTTGTAAGCCTGACAACTTTTGACTGGATTTTTAGCAGTAAAACGACACAAAGGTAAGTTTACAGGGTATCTGTGCACAAGTATTTCGGCTGCGTTGGACATGCAGCTATCGTTTCAATGTTTTCAATAACTAATCAATCTTAAGTTTGACTTGATGTCTGCGCTGCACGCGATGACTTATTTCGGGTAGTGTTTTTCGCAGCCAGAACAGCAAGAAAAACGGCAAAACTTTTTCAGAACTCGCTGTGTAATCGACAACAGTAAAGCAAGTGCCAACTTTTTTGCTGGCTCACATCAATCAGCCTGGGGTGGAAACGTAAGCTCACGTCACTCAGCCAGACAGTCCTTCAACCAGCGAGTTGGAGGGGTAAAGATGGACGAGGAGACAGGAGAACGCAAGAGAAGGATGAAGTTGGGTAGAGAGAGTTGAACTTTTGGCGTTGACAGCCGGAATACAAAATGCGGGCGAAATATGTCGATACGAATCAAGCGAAAGCTCGACTCATTTTCACATTACCCCAGCAATAATGAATGGAAGAAATGGTTGGAAAATATGAAAAACTCGCTTGCCAGGTCGAAGAGCTCAGCTCTCTAGCCGGGCCTGGAGCTGAACTATAAATGCTAGACAATAAATAACCACAACTTAAGCATATTGCGGTTAGGAGCAGCCCGTGTAACCCTCTAACACACGGTGCGAATTCCCGCTGCACTCTCCGTGCACTCGCCACTCGCCAGTTGCCTTCTACCGGCAGCTACTCTCTGTCAGCCATATTTCATTTTCATGCTCCCAATTGTTTTGCTTTTGACAAATGAGTGAGCCAGACAGAGAACGCTCCAGATAGAGACAGCCTGCTGGCTCTGCCCTGACGCGGTGGAGAAGTGAGCGAGTGTGTACAAGGCAAGTCATCAAAATAACAAATAACGACGACTAGCAAAATTGATTGCATGTCATTAATTTTCATTTCAAATTACGCTGCCACTATGTCTTGGTCTTGGTCTTGGACTTGGTGTTTGCATCGGTACTCGTCCTGACTCTGGCTGTATCTGGTCTTGGTCTCGGTCTTGGTTTGTCTTGCTTTTCGGCTTGGCTTTAGCCTGCAGCTGATATGTCAGTCAGTCAGCGTCAACCCGTCAATGGGCCAAAGTCAAAGTCGTGCCAAAGTCAGGCCGCTGGTCAAATCTGTTAAGCTTAAACAAGTCAAAATGCCATCGCCAGCTGATGTTGTTGCTCCCTTTTGTGCCAAGTAGTTTAATCAATTACTCGAAATAAATATCGAACCACAAAACTGCCTATTACAAACAATTCTTAATGTTGCATAATTCAATTCCGCTTATCAAAATAATATACTTTCATTTGATTTATTATATCTAAGAATTTTCATCTATCCGAAAAGTTGATAAAAATGTAAAAACCTATTAAAGAGTATTTCGTAAGTCAGTTTCCCTTGTGTAACATTTCTATGAGTGCTTGTTGCAATTGAAATTGGAAGTACCGACAGTTTTGCTGGCCGATTTGTAAATTATGAGCAAAGACGTCAACTGCCAACTGCATTCGCAACAAACTGCAACAATCCCAGTGGACATGGCCAGAGTTGCAGCTGCAGCCACAGCTACAGCAGATAGATGTTGATGTGGATTTGGGTATGGATGTAGATGGGGCTACCTAAGGCTGTCCGCCGCTGAGTGCTCCAGCTAGAGCCAGAGCCAGAGCCAGAGCTAAGGCAGGAGTAGAGCTGCGGCCCGAGTCAGAGAACAGCAGCTAACTGACATTTGACTGTCAGATGCTGTTGGCTCTCATTCGTTAATGTCAGAAGCAAGAGTTAATCTCGCGTGCATTTCAAAACATCAGAGAGACAGCAAAGTGAGTGGAAAAGAGAGCAAGCAAGAGAGAGAGAGGGAAAGAGAAAGAACTGCGTCGGCTAGGTACGCACTGGCCAGGAGGATATATTGTAATCAAGGCTTTGTTGGTTTTGTTTCGCAGTGTGGTTGGCGAAAGAGAAACAGCATCAGCAGCAGTAACTGACTGACTGACATACTGGCAACCACCAGCAGCAAGAACAACAGCAGCATCAGCAGAAGCATCAGCAGCAACGTCAAGTGATGGATGCCTGAAAGCCAGCCTGCAAAATGAATGAATGACATGGCAGGCATGTGGACCGGGTGGCACAGACTCCAACTCGAACTCGACTGAGTCTGAGTCAGACTCGGACTCCGACTCGGACTCAGAGGCTACTCCACGCACGCAATATGTTCAATGATGACCAAACACAAACGTGTAGAGTGGAGGCCAACCGCGTGATAAGTTGCCTGGCCACTGACCAACTCGCCAACTCGCCAGTCAGCCAACCAGCCAACTGGTCAACTGGCCAAGAGAGGGCATCCCAGCAGAGCAGTCTGCCAGCTGCATTTGCATATGGCTTGCATTCTGTGGGCCCCGGCATGCAAAATTGCTTTATGAATTATAAACAATGCCCGGGCCGAGGCTTGTTAGTTGCTTGTCTGCTTCATTGCGCCAGCACACAGTGTGTATTTGTACTTTCAGACAATCCCCTTACCCAGCCACACTAGACCACTATCTCTCTCTCTCTCTCTCTCTCTCTCTCTCACTCCCTTTTTTGCTGTCTGTCTATCTTTCGGTGGGGGTCTCATTGCACTGACAGTGATTATGTCGCCAAGTGACATCCATCAGCAGATGTGTAATTTATTGCCGCTGCCCATTGCATGGCCAAGATTGCACCCAGTTTGTGTACGTGGCAAACATGTCCGCCTTTGCGTCGGGCCCAATCGGACAGGGTGTGGTTAATTACAGGTGCCATTGAGGAATCTGTGAATTCGTTCATATCTACACCGTCGAAAGGTTAATACGCTTATCGAAAGAGCTTAATTAAACCCACTTAATTAATAATGGCCGCTGCGTATGGTTGGAAAATCCTTTTCACCAAATATTTACTTTATTTTATACTTTAATGTCACATCTCTTGTATTCCACCAGTAAGTCAAAATATATATAAAACAAGCTGGCATTGTCAGTCAGAACAAACATTTGTATATAGAGAGAAGAAATTTCTTAGTATTGAATATAAGTTAATCAATTAGATAATTGGTTATTAAAAAATTAAAAATAAAAACTGTAATAAAAACCTTTATACAAATTTGATGCAGATTGGGAAAACTACAAAAATATCTTTATTCAGAGTAATAGCCTTGTTAGCCTTAAATTAATATATGGTACTCATTAAGGTAAATCAAGAATGCATTATTCTATCTATGTTTAGAAGAGAGTTTTCATTTTTGTATCGTCAGCAGATTCTTAGTTGATTTGTTTTTTTTTTTTGTATTTATAATCATTTCAGTTTTTTACTTTTGACAGATATTTGTATATCTTTAAACGAGCAAAAAATTGAACATAGAAAGCGGTCAGAACTTGCTTATTGATTCCAGTTGTATTATTTTATTATGTTTCTCGGTGATTGTTGAGTAGAAATAAAATGTATGACTGTCCCTTATAGCATATCGGTCTTCAAAAAAGGATCAAAGAAATATTTGTAATTTGTTTCAGTTGCCAAAGCACTTTTACAGTTGTTCAACGTGAATAGAAGGACGGGTGACATGTTCGAGAGGCTAACAATATCAAAGAGCAAAATGCGTTTGCTTACATAAAACACTTCTATTAAATAAAAAATATATATTGTTTAAGTAAAACGCATTTTTGCTTTCAAGCAATTTCCGCACTCTTTATAGCACTCGAGAAAGAAGCAGAAGCAAACGCAATCAAATCGCGAGTGCCGCCAGCTCTCGAGTTAATGATATATACTCACTTCAGGGGCAATATCAGGCACATGCTGGGGACTTTAAAGAGGGTTTCATACATCCGCGACAACAGAGCCGCGTTACCCCCAACCACATTGACTGTTGAACGTCTTTCGAGGCAACATTGTGTCAAGTTGGCAAGGCTTTAAATTCGCAAAGAAAGCAGTCGAGGCAAACCCATTGAAATCCATCCAAAACTCAACCCTTTTAAATGCATACTTGCAATCAAATCAAAAACATTCCCATGATAGGGGTTACAGAAGAAAAAAAAAAACAAAGAAACGCAACACAATGATGGCACTTAAGCGCGGTTTTCAAGTACTGAAGTGACTGACAACCTTCCCTGAGTTTCCTTGGCAATGATTCAATTTCAGCATTTGAGTTGCAACTGTGAAAACAATTAAACTCTGGACACAAAGTAGTTGCCTTGCGCAAAAATCCGCGCTCTTGAGTTCCATGTTTGATGTCATAAATCCCTTAACAATGCCTTAATGCCTCAGCTGACTGGTTGTCCCCAAGGTATTTCAAGTGTCGCATTATCTGCGCATTTATCAGCAACCCCGAAGCCGAGCCCCTAACAGCAGCCCGACCGACCAGCAGCAGATGTGCTTTTCTCCCTTTTAATGACATGTTGCCATATCTTTTCTTTTTTTTTAAATATACATTCACCCTTTATCAATATAGCCTGGATGTTATTCTAATCTCGCCATTTAATTCGTATTGGGACACGGCCCGTTCGGATTAGTAGTCAAGAGAAAGAGAGACAAGTTTGCCACCCGCTTCACCCGATAATTTCCCACGCGCTGTTTCAGACTTAGTTCAAAATCGGCTTTGTCGTAAGGCTAATGGCACTTCCGCATCGGCCGAGATCAAGAAAGCTTCCTAGAAATATGCATAGGGCGCACGGTTTTATAAATGGCACATTGGAAACAATAGTTAGGATCAGACCTTGAGCGTCCAACAGTCCAACAGTGTCAACAAGGTGAAAAGAGAAGGCACACAGCATGATTCCATCGAATTCGACCTAAGGAACACAGCTTCAAAGTATGCGAACCGCCTACCTACCAAAAGAACTGCAAACAAAGTTCTCGGCTTCATTCATGGGTCGGGCACAGAATCTGCAAATATTTTTGGTCACAAAATTTCCTCATAATTTTTGCGGCACTTCTTCTGTGTTTCTTTTGCCAGCGTGACACAAATTAGCAGCAGCATCATCAGGTCTTTAGGTCCTGTGTCGCTAACAAGGGATAATGACAATACAAGTTGTCAAATAAACTAATAATGCCTTAAAAATAATGGTTGACATACCCATTGTCGAAGATGTCACGTACATTTTAAATACCGTTCGTGTGCGGCTTTCAACTGCTTCCGCAGAAATGTAAACAGTTTGCAGTTTCTTTCTTCAAATCTAATTTACAATTTATGGTAGTTGCCTTTGAAAAAAAAATATGTCTCTCGCTTGGCCATATTGTACATCTATTATGTCCTTGTAAAGAGTACTAAAATATTGTTATGCAATATGTAACACATAAGCGAAGAAGTCCTCCGACTCTATAAGGTATAAGGTATATATATAAATATATTAATATATATAATAAAAACTAGTTTCTTAGTGTTAATGCTTTCGTCACAAAACTTTGCATGGGTCCGTCTTTCAGATCAAGCCGGTGATTGATATACTTAGTTCCAATATGAAAAAATTTCAATGAAACATATTTTGACTTAACCCAGAATTTGTTAGTTGCGATATGCTCCTTACATATGTACGTAATTGTATCGATATCGAACGTATATCCGCAATTAAAGATCGGTGAAAAATTAAGTTTTTGCATGAACTACTTTACAGAGCTCAGCACTTACTAGATTCACAATGCGTTTCATATATTCTCGTTATTTTTTGTTGTCTGTTTGTTTTGTATATGTTTCTTTTCAGATGAGTTAAGAGTCTCCACCAAACTTTATCAATAATATTGATTACTAATGACAAATGATATACAAAACAAAATACATAATATTTATAAATATATTGCACCTCCCGTTTTTCACAATGGACTTTATCAAGAAAGAATGAAAATTGTTGACTTTAACTATGGCTTAGTTGACTGTAAGTTATTTTAAGTTTCGTATTGAAACTGAAGCCTTCTTGACTTAATCCGAACCTGGACTAGAACAATCCATGCAGTAGAGGTGTCAAAATAGCCTCTTACTATACCTATAAGTGTATACATATGTGTATGCATGTGACCCAAGCCATTTTAGGCCAAAACTACCAACCACCAAATGATGTTGATGCATGGAAAGCTTGTGACGTGTTTTGAACTGTCGTGATTGACGTGACATTAAATGACAGGCTGACACACAACTTTATATGACAAGCACACAGACAGTTTGACAACAACTTTGAGCAGCAACAATGTACGATGTGCTGATGATGCGACCGTCTAATGAATGCCACAAAAATAAAAGTACTCGAACTGAAACTCAAACTTGAAC